AAGGCTATCACAAAGATTTCTAGTATTGAAACCACATTTTTCGATACTATTTGAAGGTAAACTCTAATTTGATTGTTTAGAGCCTAAGCTCTATACAAACTGCACCCAAATATAAATCATGAAGATGGAACGCATATCTATCATGGACTGAAAAAACAACTGTCTTGAGAATAATAATACCAATAAAAAGACGACCATAAAAAAAAAGCATCGATATGAGATAGGCAGAGTTTACCAGCCAAGTCATATCAAATGTTGAGAAGATTATCGTAATTTGTTCCAAATGTAAGGGCAATATTACCAATCTCCTTGAGATAGTATAGTATCTACCACTACGTTGTTTACGTAATTTCAATAAAAATCGAGGGCAATTATGGAACAATTTGGGCTATATATTTCTCTCTCAAAAACCTAGCTCTTCTCTTAGCTGGTGCGTTCCAAGAGACCGAGGAGAGATTAAAGCTGGAGAGTGAGATTGGGAGAGAAGTGAGAGAAAGAGGAGAGAGAAAGAGGAGAGAGAGTAAGAGAGCTTTCCGCCACCATGGCAACCTTTGCAAAGCCAGAGAACGCTCTCAAGCGAGCTGAAGGTCAGAGTTTCATTTCATATCTCAAGGTTCTGAGAAGTTAATAAAACTCACTGATTTGGAATCGGCACAGATCTGAAACCCTAATTTGTAATATTGGATTATATGCGTTTAAAATACATGGTTCTTAGTTCTTGTTGACCAATCTCTGATTGGCATTTGTTGGTGATGGATTTACAGTGCCAGAGTTTGGAGTTTAGGTTTTTCTATTTTTTTTTGTAATTTATTTCCTAATTTTATTGAAGCTATTTAGCTGGATTTTTTTGGTTGGTGAATGCTAGATACTTATTTGATTTCTCTTATTTATTGAATTCCCCAGTACCTTCAATTTTATTCAACAAACTTGCATTCCCGGATTTTCACAGTTTTGATTTTACTGGGTTTTATTCAATTGCACTTTAATATGTATTATTTACTTTTTTGAAGTTTGTCCGATAACAATGTCTCAGATGTTGTGAGAGAGGTATATTTTTGTATTAAGTCTGGGTATACTTCATATTCAACAGGGGATGCATCCCTTGGGCTGATATATATTTTTCTTCAGTGTATGATTTCAGATTTTTTGTGTTCTGTTTAATTTCAATGAGAATTGGGGTGCTTTTTCATTTTTTTTTAAAATATTATTTTGAATTTAATATAACTAAGAAACTTCCTGTATTTGGATTCCTTTAGAAATTTTTTTTTTTGATAAAATTCCTTTAGAAAACTAAGCATGAATACATCGTATTATTGATTCCTTTATTTGGAGAAACTATTTCATTGGGAATCGGGGCAGTTAGTTTGCTTTCTTATCTCTTAGCTTGTGAACAGTATTATTTAGGAAAACTGTATTTATCAATTGTAAAGATGGTTCCTCCATTTTGATTGTACGCTTAAATCAACAACTTATGGTTATACATCGTATAGATACAATGGCATAAATGAGGGTGGAGGTTATGGATATATTTGTAGGATTAGGATATCAGAACTTAAAGAAGATTTGAAGAGGATGAAGATAATCTTTACGATCGGATGGTATCACGATAGAGGTTTGGAAGTGCATAGGAGAGATCAACATTCCCTGGCTGACCAAACTGTTCAACAATGTGTTGAGAACAAAGAAAATGCCAAAAAAAATGGAGGAACACTACTGTGATAACAATTTACAAGAAACAAGGAGACACAAAATTATGCGAACTATCGAGAGATCAAACTTGTGAGCCATATTATGAAGCTGTGGGAGGCAGTGATTGAGCAACAACTAAGGCCTGAAATGAGTGTATCAAGCAACTAATTCGGTTTTCTGCTAGGGAGGTCAATAATTGAGGCTAGTTTCCTACTTAGACAACTAATTGAGAAGTTTAGGGCGATGGGAAAAGACATCTGTATGGTCTTTGTTGATTCAGAGAAAGCTTATGATAGAATACCTTGAGATTTAATTTGGTGGGTATTGGAAAAGAAAATAGTTTTCAAATACTATATTGACTTGGTAAAAGATATGTAACAGGGAGCGCTAACTAGTGTGTGAACAGCTAGTGGAGAGACGAGTGAGTTTTCAGTGACAACATGTCTATATTAAAAGTCAACATTGAGCCCATACTTTTTGGCCTTAGTTATGGATGACTTAACTAGGCACCTACAAGATGAAATATCGTGGTTTTTGTTGTTCGTGGATGACACACTTTTGATTGATGAGACACGAAGTGGCGTCAACACAAAGAACTTTGGAGGGATGCTTTAGGATCTAAAGGTTTTAAAATTAGCCGGACTAAGATAGAATATATGGAATGCAAGTTTAGTAATAATAAGAGTAGAGATGAGGAAATAGTTTAAATTGACGGCCAAGAAATACCAAAAAAGAGTACACTTCGATATCTTGGGTCGATTATCCAAGAAATATATTTATTGAGAAAGATGTCCCACATAGAATTAGAGTTGGGTGGATGAGGTGGAGATATGCAACTGGAGTTTATGTGATCGCCGCGTACCAACGAAGTTGAAGGGGAAGTTCTATAGGGCAATTGTGAGACTAGCTTTACTTTATAGGGCAGGATATTGGGCTTTCCAGAAACAACATACCCATAAGATGAGTGTAGCTGAAATGAGGATGTTGAGATGGATTAGTGGCAAGACAAGAATGGATAGAATTCGAAATAATTACATTCATGAGAACCTAGGTGTGGCTCCAATAAGTGATAAAATGAGAGAAAATAGACTTAGATGGGTTGACCATATGCAATGCAAGCCCAGTACAACACTTATTAGGAGGTGCGAGTTTGTTGAATTGGAAGCCTCAAAAAGGGCAAGGGGTAGACCCAAAAGAACATGGTTGGAAGTAGTGAGAAAAGATATGGTGACTTATGACCTTATTGAGGGTATGACCCTTGATAGAGCAGAATGGTGGATTGGGATTCATGTAGCTGATCCCAAATAGTAGGGAAAAGGCTCTGATGGTGATGATGATAATTGAACAAATTACATTTGACAATTTATACTTTATCAAAATAACTAATGTGGTTATACTTTGTAAGTTATATTTTATGGACTGTTGGTTGTTTGTTGTTATATGTTTATAGTTACATTGACACCGTCTTTTGACAATTAACAATGTAGAGCATAAGAGATGTAAGCTAAAAAAGTTAAACTCAAAAAGAACACGGGGTCATCTACCTTTTAGTTGTCATTTTTGTGCTTTTGGTAGTAGGAGATAATTGCCCTCACCTTCATGAAATCATGCACACTACATCAGATAATCCCAGATGCACATAAAATGACATTGAGTGAACTGCCTTTCACAATCCTATGTCATTAGAAAAAATGCTAAAGAGTTCAATAATAGACTAATAGTCGAAGAGCTCCAATTTGAGCATTTCTATTCAGGAACCATCAATAGAGTTGTAGAATCTTGGAGGCACTATGAGTGTTTTGATAACCATCCATAGGTGAGCCCTTTTAAGCCATCCATTCAGACAAGTCCTGTTTCCCCAACAAGCGACTGTCAAAAAGGAATCTTAGATTGTCTGGAGAACCATAGGCTGTCTATAGTGAAGTATGTCACTATATTATACTAATGGCTAAGACTTTGTGGTTTTGAAAGCTGTTGTTCCATGTGTCATGAGCCAATTGATTGGGGCTTGACATAGGAGACCCAACTTTGTATGGATGATGAATTTCTAACTTGATAGTAGAGTGGCACCATACGTTCCAATCACATCACCAACGCTTAATTCTAACCTGATAGTAGAGTGGCACCATATGTTCCAATCACATCACCAACTCTTCAGGCCAAAACTCAAATTTCTCCTTGTTTGTGGTCTTACTAATGGTACTTCCTTATGGCCCATCGAAGAACCTCACGGTAGCTTCTTCAATGGTTGGATGTTCCCCTTGAATGCAAACATTCACCTTGAAGGGGTCAATAACTTTACAACTTGAATGCAACTAGTCATCTCATGGATCCTCTCTTTCTAATTACCTGACACCTAATCTCTGACTTCTGCCTGCAACTTATGTTTCCCTGCCCATGCTAACTTTGAATTTCGTTTACCTGTTTGGCTGTTCTATCTCTTATCTTCCATCAATGTATGGATCTTCCTTGGGGTCCAATTCTATGATGTTCTATCTTTGTAGGCTCTGATAATTTGTCTCCCTGACTTCTCCTTGAATAAATGATGTTTTTTACAAAATCTGCACCCACTCCAATGTCACCACCCCACTTGCCATGCCCACAATTCTCAGAACCGCAGTACCTCAAGTGAATCTGAACAATACCGGTCCATAGCTATCTAAGATTTGAAGTTGTCCAACAACATGTTCAAAAGAATCTGGATGGGTTCAATGCTAGCTCACTAGGTCCTAATCACTTTTTCATTGCCTTGTGTTAATGGCTCCCCGTGGCATGCCGCTTCCCTTTACCACCCTCTAGCTTTACGTCCCTTCCTTTCCTTCATATTTCTATCGTCATTTGCTCTTTTGTTTCCTTTTTTTTATGTGTGTTGGTGGGGGGAGGGGAGGGGAGGGGAGGGGAGGGTTGGGCTATCCTCTGTCTGGATGCACTTGTTTGAACAGGATGTAACTTTGATCTCTGAATGACATATCAATTACAATTATAGAACTAGGTCTAACTTTGATCTTTTGACATGGATGTTAATTGAAATTTCATAAGAAATGCCATCCCATGCTGGCTGAAAACAATTCCTTCTTCTTTATAATACCTTGTGAACATTGCTCTTTCAAGGAGATTTACTGACTTTGACTAGTGAACTTAGGAGAATTACCAATTTACCATGTGCTTGACTTTTAACCTTCTCCCCGCTCCCTTCTCAAAACCTCATCCCCTACCTCAACAACTATCATGTGACCTCTCTCTGGCTCCCTCTATGTCTTTATCACCCTTTCTCAATGTTGGTGCCATAGTGGCTTGATGTATCTGATAAAGAAAAATATGGAAGATGCAGTGGTTGGACATGAAACTCATTTTTTTGTTACTGGTGTTTGTGCTTGAGTTCTCAAAAAAATGGATGTGGTTCATACAGAGATTTGGAGAAATACTTACAAAATTGAAATTGTCACATTTTATTTTTATATAAAATTGGACTTTTTTTTACGGGAAAAATGTCTACTCTTTGACATTGGTGTATTGAATTGTTATCCATTAAGCAGTGAGGCAGTCACCTGTGTTAGTAGTACTACATTTCTTGTACTTGGTTCAGAACAGCGTTTAAAAGCCCAAACTTGGGTTCAGACTCATTAGGGTCTCAAGATCGAATGATTTGCTCACTTGGCAGAGTTGGATCGCCCGGCTCAGCCAAGTTACATAAATTTTTTTTTTATATGATTCAAGCACTCGGGTTGGATTTATCATTTGGACCCTGCCTGTTCTTATTAGTGACTTGGGTGAGTCCGAGCACAAGTCAGCGAGTTTTAGGACATTGGTTCACAGTTTCAGGCATTAGAGGCATGTGCTTTTGAATGCTGACTTACTGAATATACCTCAATGTGATCATTTAATCAATATTTTGTGTTTTCCTTCACTGTTGAAGATGTTGTATTTATTAGTTGCTTGTGCTATAGTGTTTTTTTACTTATTTGTAAATATTTTGCTTTGAAAATAATTCTAGCAACTGTAATTGCCATTCTGATGGGCTTCCACCTATCACATTGCATATTTTTGTACTTTAAAAAAGAAAAAATCGCGTTTTTGCTTGTTTGGGAAATGGGAATTATATATGCCTAAAAAGTGATGCAATGTCTTTGTTGGATGCAGAGTTAATGAATGTGGGACAGAAGCAAGCTGCATTGCAAGCGCTTCATGATCTGATCACTTCAAAGAGGTACAGAGCATGGCAAAAGACCCTTGAGAGGATTATGTTCAAGTATGTAGAACTCTGTGTTGATATGAGAAGGGGGAGATTTGCCAAGGATGGTTTGATTCAGTATCGTATAGTGTGTCAGCAAGTGAATGTTAGCTCTTTGGAAGAGGTGATAAAGCACTTCTTGCATCTCTCAACTGAAAGAGCTGAACAAGCGCAAAGCCAGGCTCAAGCCCTGGAAGATGCTCTGGATGTTGACGACTTGGAGGCAGAGAAAAGGCCAGAAGATTTGATGGTAAGCTATGTCAGTGGTGAGAAAGGGAAAGATAGGTCAGACCGGGAGCTTGTAACACCATGGTTCAAATTCTTATGGGAAACCTACAGGACAGTGCTTGAAATTCTCCGGAATAACTCAAAATTGGAGACACTATACGCTGTGAGATTACTTTGCTTCTTTTTTTTTTTTGTATATTTTTTTTTCTAATTATGGCTACTGAACTTTTCATTTAACCATGTTGATACTGGTTAAATGTATTTGGGAGGATAGTAATCAACTAACTCATCTGAAGTCAGTAATTCAAAAGATACTTGTCAGTGACCATTTGTTAAGTCTTATCAACATAATTCCTTGATATGATTGGATTCTTTCTCTGCTGTATCTTTAGTACTTCTCGGCTTATTTTATGACCAACATATTCATGAGTTTCTAAAGGCCCACCGTGGTTGATTTTTTGGATACCTGTTCTTGTTTTGGATTCGAAGTGGTTGGTTTTCCATGGTGTTGAGAGCTTGGGAGTTTATGCACTATTGACTTATAACTCATAATTTACCTCTGGCTGATGGATTTTCTAATTTAGTGATCTTGATTTTGTGTACAGATGACAGCACACCGGGCCTTTCAGTTCTGCAAGCAGTACAAACGGACAACAGAATTCCGCAGGCTGTGTGAGATTATACGTAATCATTTGGCTAATCTTAACAAGTACAGAGATCAAAGGGACAGGCCAGATTTATCTGCCCCTGAAAGCTTACAGCTATATCTTGACACCAGATTTGATCAACTCAAGATTGCAACCGAGCTTGAACTTTGGCAGGTTTGTTATTTTTCATTTACTTTTGTGTTAATCATTGCAGTATGCAAGACGTTTTTCAAAACTGCAGCCAGCTTGGCCTATAAAAGTTTGTTTTGCAATCCCTTGCAAGTTTGAAATATTTTAATGATGCCATCTACATATTCCAAATTTGACAACATATTTCAAATGGAAAGTTCACATTGTCAATGTTCCTTGCAGAAGTTCGCGAATTCTAAAATTTGGCCTCTTATCCCCTATTTATTCGAAAATGTTTTATAAGCTAATTTGGCAGAGTTGTGCTTAGAAAAACGCTTTTCCAGAAATGAAATTTCTATCTTGATGCTGGTTGTTATAATTTCTTAGTGCTCGCCCTTTTCCATTGACAGGAAGCATTTCGTTCAGTTGAAGATATTCATGGATTGATGTGCATGGTTAAGAAAACCCCGAAGCCTTCTTTGATGGCTGTTTACTATGCTAAGCTGACAGAAATTTTTTGGGTGTCAGAAAGTCATCTATACCATGCATATGCATGGTACAAGCTTTATGCACTCCAAAAGAGCTATAATAAAAACTTAGCTCAAAAGGATTTGCAATTAATGGCATCCTCAGTTTTGCTTGCCGCGCTGTCAGTGACCCCTTACGATCACAAGCATGGTGCAGCACATTTTGAACTAGAAAATGAGAAAGATCGCAGTTTAAGGATAGCTAGCCTTCTAGGGTTTAATCTTGACCCTAAACGAGATAGTAGAGAAGTGGTAACTGCTTTTGGTTTCCTCTGGATATTCTTTGCTTGTTTCTAACCCCTTCCCCCATTTATAAGGTATAGGTTTTACCCATTTATTAAGTATACTCTGGGTCTAACTCAGTGGATTCTTTTTGCAGCTTTCCCGCTCAGCTCTTCTTGCGGAATTGGTATGCTTTTACCCAGTGTTTTACTTCTTTCACCTTGTTTTGTGTAGACAATTAAATAATGTCTATATTTGTCAAAGTAAACTGATTTTTCTGATTATGGTAAAGGAAAATACTTTTGAAAGAACTGGTTACAAAAGGAAAACGAAAAGCTTTAACTTCATTTGAGCTATGTATTTCGCTGTTGCTTGAATCTTTTTTTTGTGAATGTTTAATTCTATTGGCATCAAAGATCTGAACTGAGGAACACTTAAGTATTGGAAATGATTTTGGGCATTGTGTGAGATCCTGGGTGATTTGTTCATCCTATGGCTTTACCTTGCAAAATCCAAAATTGCTATAGCTTTCCATTATGAATTTCATTTTTCGAAATTTTAGTAATGGGATGTAACTCTACCATCATTCAAAGTATTGTGGTTTTCTCCTTGCACAGTCCGAAATTGAAAATTTTGGGTATGAGCTTCCTGCTGAATCTAATTTTAAACTTCAAGTTTGAACCTTTCTTTCGATGCTTCGTGGAAAAATAACTACTTTCAATGGAAATCACTGTTAAAAGTGTACATGTGCATGCTTCAAGTAATGGCATGTCTCCTTGCCAAACATTTCAAGCTTTGCATGCATTGGGTGTCTTGGTTGGGCTCATTGAAGATATCACAATTATAATTACACAAGAAGTAGAATTTATTAAAAGCTGTTTTGTCTCTTGGTAATTAAATATGTAACCATATATTAAAATGGTAAAATTGGCTTAGGAAATATCACATAGATGCAAGTATAAGCATCTTTATCGCCATTAGCAACTCTACTTATTTTTTATTAGGGAATTTAGTCTGTGTATTAATACTGAATAAGGGGAATAAGGGTTACAAAAGTGTTAAAAAATGGCTACCCACAGGTTGGGCGCTCTGTAGAAAAAGGAGGGTGTTTGGTGACCCTTCACCAATGAGAGTCGAACATTTATAAAAGAAGAAACACGGCATCGCACGGAGTGTGATCCCTGTACAAAGAGGACATAAACACATAGAGGGGGATGGCACCCACAGATCGAGCTTTGTACAAAAAGGTGTGTCTAAAGACCCTTCCTAGTGCGAGTTGAAACGTGAGGAAGGGAGCAAACGCTGCGTCACAGGGTTTGTGATCCTTGTACAAAAAGGAGATAAGGACAGAGAGGGGGGCAAGGAGGGAAGCAGTGAATAGTGAGATAGAGGGTTAGAGGTAAAAAAGTAGGAGGGTTGGAGGGTCTAGAGTACAAAAGAAGTCCTTAGAGAATGTCTGTACAATATAATACATAAAGTGAGGGGAGAGTGTCTTATCTAAGGCTCTTGGCAAATATTTTGTTCCTTACTTTTTTACTTATTTCCTTCTTTTTTTTTCATCTTTTTTCCGTCTCTACTTTACATGTTTTTTCCTTTCTTCCTTTTTCCTTTTCTTCCCCCCTCCTACATGGGTAACATTTTTTAGGGATATATGAGACTGTTTTTTTTTTTTGGGTTTGGGGGTAGGGGTTAAACACAAGGAGGAAGAGCAGGAAGGAGGGGCACACCAAAGAGAAGTTGTATTCCTAAGAAAAAGAATGAGGGTGGACAACTTTTAAAGCGGATGATTGTATTGATAAGTGATAAGGCCCTTTGGGTTAGTGTGTTTGTGCGTTGGAAAAGTGGAAATGCAAAAGTGCCTTTGAGACATGGCGGTAGATTAAAGTTGAAATACAAAAGTGCCCTGGAGAATGAGAGACCTGGTAGTGTAAATTTGGCTTAAGTGGTTCGAGAGACAATAAAGGAGCAAGGAGGTTGGGGCTAGGTTTATTGTTTGGGAGGAGGAGAATACTTAGTAAAGAGGTTTAGAAAGAGATGATTTATTCATTAGGTTAGAAGAAAGGAAGCTTGGGGTGTTAACAATGAGTAAATTGGTTTAGTTATCATACATGTTGAATAGTTGTGCTGGCTATGTTGGCAGCCCCTAGCTTGGCCAATGTGCCTGTAGCCTAGTATGCACTTCTATGAATGTGGCATAAGACCGCTTTGAGTTCCTTGCACAAAGAGTGACAATTGTTAAATACTTGGTGTAGACGCTAAAGGCTCTCTACCTTGCGTGACGCCCAGGTGGTCGTATTGCTATTGTCTCCTTCCACGATGATGTCCCTATTACTAGTGCCAAATGTAGTCATTCTAGGATAGCTTTAGATTAAGCACTAGCGGACTCTGAAATTCTTTGATGTTGGGAGAAGGATAGTAAAGTAGCACCCTCATGGTCTCTAGGGGGGCCCCCATTCTTGTTGGGCTAGGGTTATGCAAGTAACAACCATTGGCATTTAGCTTTACAGACCCTTCGTGCCTGATGGGGGGACATGAGGGATGGGATGGTGTTATTACACATTGTCGAGGTTTAAATTTTAGTAGGTCTTGCTAGCTGGTGACAAAGCAAACTATTGGGGAGGTCTTGGAGAGGCCTAAGATTGGGGGACTAGAACCTTGGAAGATCCTCCTGTTGTGGTCTTTCCAATTTGATCATGAAGTGGCCATCACTGAAGCTCTCCAAAGGAAAAGGCTTGCTTTAGGTTAGGGGGACATAGGCAGTCCTAGAAGAGTTGAGTAATTGACTGAGGGCTCTAGCCAAACTCCTGGAGCAGGTTGGACCAACAAGAGTTTGTGGTTTTGTAGTGGTAAATAGATTATCCAAATTGTTCTTCCTCCAAATAGCATATCACATACTTATTTGCTAAGTGTAGACCTCTGGGTTGCAATTGATTTGACAGTGTTTGCTGGAAAGAGCTATCCAAAGAAAAGCTTGAACCTTACCCTTATGCGGAACGTGTGTGGCGTCCACGCTTTGGCAACGATATAGTTATTGAGAAATCATATTATTAGGATCTTTTGAGGAGGGTTGCTTCCGCTCTTAGATCTCATTTCGGATCCGAAACATGAGATCTTGATTCCAAGCGATTCCTTGATATTACAAATCTCAATCTAGGAAATCAAAGATCTCGATCTTAGGTTAATGGGACTTGGTTCCCTATACCAAAATCATTGTTTCATGAGTAAGCGGAACTACTATTCCATCAACATGGAATCGAGTATCCTATGCTTTGGGTGCGAGTTTGAATGTTACATTTTTTGCTTACATATATAATGGAGTGTGAATCTCCATTTTTTTATGGCGTACAAACTTTCTAAATGCCATTATTTCTTATATATTCTACATTTCACAACTTTACACACCTTGTGAAATATGACTTGTCTAGTTTCAAAGAAATGCAACAAGAGAGGGCAAGGAGAGAGAAGGAAGAAGTTGCAATGGGACACAACAAAAATACGCTAAACTTAATTGGGGCTAGTTTAATGGGTCTTGTCCACCTAAAGCGCTTCATACATGGGGTTGCCTTGTGGGTGATGGAATAATATTTATGCTTGGGTTTGTGAATTTGGAAAAAGTTGTTAATACTATTAAATGGATCTCACTCCCAGACAATACAGTGGATAATTGAACTTCGGGAACCTTGATCCTAACACGACAGTATGCGATCCCATCGCGTAAGGGATTCACTTCTTCGCAAATATGGAATTGGATCCCTAAAAGTCGAGGATCTCAATCCCTACATTTTCCCAATGTACGAAACTCATTTCCTCAACTGCGGAACTTTGTGGCTTCCTCCTTCTGCGCTTCTACTCCCAATCCTAAAGCTTTTTTATGTCCTGCCCCTGGTAACTATGTGGGAAACATTTTGGAGAGAGAATGAGAAAAAGGATGAGATTGGGAAATGTCCTGAGGTTGAAGGAGCTAGATGATCCTTTCGTGGCCAGTAGGAAATAAACATTACGAAGTTTTTGAAGGTGACTTACTAAATCACAAGTCTCTTCATTTCTAAAATTTCTCATAAAGGTAGGAGTCCAAGAATGCTACACCCCACTCCTCTCAACACCTTGGAAATCAAGATATTTGGATCTTGAGCAATGTTAAATAGGGAAGGCCACCTAATAGCCAAAATTACCTAGCCATCGGTCTTAACTAGAATTGAACCCCATTATCCCTTCTAGAACTTAACCTAAAACCCTATTAGCTACATGCAATACCCTTCCAAGCTCTCGAGGCTTGTAAGGGATACCTCAAGAACCACCTTGAATCCTCAGGATCGTACTTCCATTTGATATCATCTTTCCAAAAGAAGTTATCCTGGGCACCACCATCTCCTAGGAGTGCTAAATCAACTTGTTTGAGGCACTTGATGCCTAGATTTTCCGTAGATGTAGGTTTATGCGCTGTATCCCAATCTACAAAATGGAACTCATGACTTTCTACTTTTCTTCCCCTTAAGAAGTTACGCATAAGGTTAGAAACCTACCTGACTCCGAAATCGGCATATGGAAAAGGGACGTCTTATTTTGATGAGCATGATGCGCCCTCCAAGCAAGAGGAAACGCCATTTCCAGGGGGCAAGTCTATGGTGAAAAGGTTCCTCTATGTGATCCCAAAGAGCCTTCCTTGTTTTGCCTATACATAGGGGATGTCCTAGGTTTGTCGAAGGGAGGGTCTCTATCCCACTTGGCCAACATCCCAATCTGGCTGCTAAGCGGTGCACATGCGACATTTCTATGTTAATCCCCATAAGTTTAGTTTTTACCATATTGACTTTGATACCTGTGGAGATGTCAAAGCATCTAAGGAACAACCAGAGGGAATCGTGCTGTTCAAGGTAGAGGTCATGGAAGGGGTCACTGAAATTAAGGTGTCATCAGCATAGAGGAGGTGAGAAACCTCAAGGCCATTCTTAGAAGTATGGAAACCCGAGAGAGCTCGCCTGTCGGAGAGACCGGATAGAGATTGGGGGGAAACTTTTGCTATAAAGGTGTAAAGGAAGGCAGAGAGGGGTTCTCCTTGATACGGTCCTCTGGAGGCTTGGAAGAAAACCATCTGGAGAACCATTGTTTAAGATGGAGGGGCTCAGATGCATCTTTGGATCCCGGATCTCCATTTTTGTATGATAAACACTTTACCTAGGACCTTATGTAGGAGAGAGTATTCGACATGATCATAAACCTTCTAATCAAATTTTATTATCACGTTTGGGTTACCCGAAAGGTGATGAGAGTCGATAGCTTCAGGAGCGACTAGGGCTCCATCTAGTATTTGTCTATTGGAGACAAAGGTTGACTGAGATGGGAAATGTCTCTATTGAGTAGTTCTTTGAGTGGAGAGGAAAGAACTTTAGTCAAGCTCTTGTAAGAGCTATTGAGGAGACATATACGATGGAAATCCTTGAGATGTTCTGCCCCTTCTACTTTAGGTATGAAGACCACAAAGGTGGAATTCAAAGCCCAGTGGAGCCTTCCTCGGTGAAGGAACTCATTGAAGAAGGCCAACATGTCTATTTCGAAGATGTCCCTGTGATGTTTGGAAATGGCTACTGGAAAAAAGTCAGAACCTGGAGCTTTGTCCTGGCCTAGATCACCTACTGCCTTTCTAATTTAGCTACAGAATGGCCTCCTGAGCTAGGAAGCTTCCTTGGGGGAAAGGGTTTCGAAGTTGAGATCATGCATTGTGGGGCTGGGTCCCTGGTGTTTGATAAAGAGTTTTTTAAAATAGCTAATAATAATGCTCTTAACTTGATAGGGCCTGTCAAAAGTTTGGTTACCCACTGTGATATTAAGGATCGAGTTAGCCTCCTACGAGTAAGTCTACCTATACTTACTCTCTAGTATTTGTGTGAAACTGTTGTTTCGTTTTTGCTTAGACGGCTCCTACAGTGACTCGTTGAGAAAACTTAAATATAAGTTTCATTGTGCAATTTTTGAACCCAACTGGAGTTAGGATTGGATCTGATTTCCTTTTGCATTTTTTAAAATTTCTTTCTTTTTCTTTTAATTCTTTTATTTTCTCGTTCTAGAAAGTTACTTCAAAGTATCCAACTATGATATATAACAGAGAAGTCATGGTTCCTTGTGTTTTGAACCAGTTATTTATATCAATAACGGGATTAATGTGGTTGTTTTTATTTTTTATTTCAGGCATCCAAAGGTGTGATGACTTATGTTCCTCAGGAAGTAAAAGATCTGTATCATCTACTGGAGAATGAGTTTCACCCATTAGATCTTGCAGCAAAAGTTCAGCCTTTGTTGGGCAAGCTTGCCAAGCTTGGTGACAAGCTGTCTTCAGCTTCACCCATTCCAGAGGTGCAGCTAGCGCAATATGTTCCTGCATTGGAAAAGCTCACTACGCTGAGAGTGCTGCAGCAGGTTTGCTAGTCTAACATGTCCTCACTTCTTTTTTTTCTCCTTTATATGGTTGTTTTAAAGTTGTATATGTGCACCTTGTCTATACGCGTCATATATCTTTGGAATCTTGGTTTAGGAATCCTTTGTCCTTTGTTTATTTCTAAGCTGCTGTGTGCTTTGCCAGGCATCACAGGTGTTCCAGACAATGAAGATTGAGGTCCTGTCAAAGATGATACCATTTTTTGATTTTTCTGTGGTGGAAAAGGTTTCTGTTGATGCTGTCAAATATAACTTTATAGCAATGAAAGTCGACCATTTGAAGGGTATAGTTCTCTTTGGTAGCATGGTAAGAGAACTACCTGATAACTTTTATAGATGAGTAAACTTCTTGTGTTGTTTTTTATCTGAAGAAACAGTGTCTTTCTGATATTTGGATTGGTCAAAATTCTAAAATCTATCAAATTCCCTTTTCTTTATGACCAATTAGTCGAGAAGTGGAAATCAGACTGAAATCCAAAGTTTCATGTCTGCATCCCTCTTGAGACTTTCTTAAAATTTGACGCTTGGTTTATCCACCACTGCCTGCTTTAGGTCCTGTCGTCAAAAGCTCTTTGACACACTTCCGACCATTGCCATGATTGTTCTTCTTTAGGAGATTTGTGAGTGATCCAATCAAAAGAAACAATAAAACCTTTGCATACAAGGACTGATAAGTGCTCAAATTTATGTACCTGTGCAATGATCACGTTCATGTTATTCTCTCTCTTTGAAATTCTCGGCTTATGTCCAAAGACATCTGTGTTATTTACAGGATCTTGAATCTGATAGGCTGCGAAATCACTTAACCGTCCTTGCAAAGCGTCTCAACAAAGCAAGAAGCCTTATCAATCCACCAGTCCAGAATGTGTCCAAACTGAATGGGATGCTGCCTGCATTGCAAGAAGCTGTAGACAAGGAGCACAAGAAGCTTCTTGCCCGTAAAGTTATAATCGAGAAACGTAAGGAAGAACAAGAGCGGCAAATGTTGGAAATGGTAGGAGCCTATTGTTTTCTCTTTTTTCCCCTTTTTTTTCATTATTTGTTTTGTTAAGAAAGGAGTTTGGTTTTCTGTGAAACGAAAGGAGTTTGATCCCCTTTTTTATTTTTTTGTTTGTAAGTGATTTGGGTTGATTGAATTCATCTGAGGGCTTAAAGATACTGTGGTTCTCATATTTTCTCCTCTTTTTAGGAACGTGAGGAGGAATCAAAGAGATTAAAATTGCAGAAGATATCAGAGGAGGCAGAACAAAAGAGACTTGCTTCTGAATATTCCAGGAGGGAGGAGCAAAGGATTCGAAGAGAAATAGAGGAGAAAGAACTGGAAGAAGCTCAGGTTTTGCTTCAAGAAGCAGAGAGACGTAAAGGAAAGAAAGGAAAGAAGCCAGTTATTGAAGGGGTAAATAGCCTCTTATTGCTCACTGTGTAGGAATCTACTGTTCCGCTTGTTTTCTACTGATTTTTATCCCTTCATACTTGATTGTGTACTCATTTGAGAGTCATCCATCACATAGGCAAACTGTTTCTTTAAATTTAAACCCTTGGCTGTTATCCCCTATGACCTTGCAAATCCCTGTTAACCAACCGTAGGTGGATTAGGGATAAGTAACTATGTTAACTAACCGTAGTTGGAAAAAGGAACGAGTAAAACCTTAAGATTCTAGAGCAACCCTCCAAAGTTCTAACTTTGTGTTGACACCGTTTCGAGTCTTATCGATCAAAACTATGTCATCCACGAACAACAAACAACATGCACCACGGTACCTCATCTTCTAGGTTCCTAGTTAAGTCGTCTTTAACTAAGACAGAGATGTGGGCTCAGTTTAAAGTCTAGACCAATGATTTTCTCAGGGATCAATTCAGTTTGTATTGTAAATTTTCAACCTAAAACGTTAAATCTCTCTCTCTCTCTCTCTNTTTCTCTCTCTCTCTCTCTCTCTCTCTCTCTA